CGTGGGGGACCCACGCTGGAGCAGTCTGCTCCTGAAGGGCTGCACCCCGTGGAGGGGACCCACGCTGGAGCAGTTCATGAAGAACTGCAGCCTGTGGGAAAGACCCACGTTGGAGAAGTTCATGGAGGACTGTCTTCTGTGGGTGGGACCCCATGCTGGAGTAGGGGAAGAGTGTGAGGAGTCCTCCTCCCCTGAGGAGGAAGGAGCAGCAGAGACAAGGTGTGATGAACTGACTGCAACCCCCATTCCCCATCCCCATGTGCTGCTCTGGGGGAGGAGGTAGAGAAATCAGGAGGGGAGTTGAGCCCAAGAAGAAGGGAGGGGCAAGAAGGTGGTTTTAGTTCTCATTACCCTACCCTGATTTGACTGGTAACAAATTAAACTAATTTCCCCAAGTCAAGTCTGTTTTACCCGTGATGGTAATTGACAAGTTATCTCTCCTTGTCCTTATCTTGACCCACAAGGTTTTCATTGTATTTTCTCTCCCTTATCTAGCTGAGGAGGGGAGTGATAGAGCAGCTTTGGTGAGCACCTGGTGTCCAGCCAGGGTCAACCCACCACAAACGGTGGGAACAGATGTGTGTGGAGACCTTCTTCTGCCTGCTGAGCTTTGTCAGGCTCGCTGGGAGAAGATGTGACGGGACAAGCATTCCAGGGATGCTGTTGACAGGCTGAGCCAGCCCAGCCCACAGCAGCACACACAAGCACTCAGGCAAGGACAGGTTCAGGTATGTACACAAGCCATAGCTGATAGAGGCACTGGCATTTGAATTACAGTTTTGTATCTTTTTGTCCTGTTAGGGGCTTTGGCCTGCATGATGATTGGTACCAAACTTTGCTTCTCAAAAACAAATTGACAATCAACACAACTCACATTGGACCTTCCTCCTCATTTCTTGACATCCAGTTTACAGACAAAACTGATAGGTTCATGCTGTATTTATGTATAACAATACAGCTCATGTGCATGAGAGAGCATGAGTGACTTAGGTAAACCCCTTCTTTAAAAGCAAAAACTAGAGTAGAATTTGGACCCTTCTCTCCACCTGGAAAACAGCTATACTGTTTCTTTTCCATGTTTAAAACTTCATTGTAACAGCAGGCACAACATGAGAATACTTAATCCAATGATTCAGTGATATGCTTCCACATGGAAGCTACTAAATAACAGTAAAAAAAGCTTTCCTTGTGTCCTCAAAATTTGAGGAAGTCACATAGGAACAGAGAATGGATGCCTGGCTCTATGGCTAAAATTGATGTCCAAGTTACGGTCTACAAAATAAAGGACCTTAGATGAAAAATGCTAATCAATACCTTCCCTGCCTAAAACAGGACAGGAAGAGGATAAAGAAAAAAGCTCCGATAAAATTACAAAACATTTCAGTTTTATTAAGAATAACTTACATAGAAATAAATTATCTTTAAAAATACTATAATACATTTTTATATTAAGTTTAAATTAAGTCTTGGAAGTTGCGTTGGCCTTTCCTGCAATCAGCAATCCGATCGTGGTGTTGAATCTTGTTCTGTTTCATCTTCATCATCTTCGCTATCCGAGTCTTCATAAAAGGAAATGGTAGCTTGAACTGGAAAGTTTTTCAGAAGTGCTTCAGCTTCCTGATATAAGTAATCATAGCACCTTGATTTGGGCCAAAATAGTCTGAAACAAGTATACAATAGGTTTGCTTAGTGTTAGTACATATTCTACTTGGAGGCTGACAGACAAGAAACAGCAGTCAAATTCTGTTAAGACAAGCATCCTACAGAGTTTTTCCTCACATGCTCAGTTGCTAAACTGTTTTCTACATTTAAATTAAAAATTTTTCTCCTGGTTCTGTATTTTCATCTGAAGAGATAAAGATGCACTTAAAGTGCTAGTTTTGCAGCAAAACTACTCTAAAGCCCAAGATCTACTGCATCTGAAACTTACCACTCCAGTACCTCATCAACTGTATTACCTGGGGACCTGATCCAAATAATACAGCCCTCACTGGAACTATTCCTAGGGAATATAATGGGTGTCAAACAGGATCCCCAAAATATTTGGATTAAATTAGCAGTTTTGTTACTGAAGGTCCCCAACCTAGGTAGTTGTTTACAGTGGTGTGAGACAAACCTCAAAGCGAAAGGAGTGATAAAGGTCTAGGGGGATCAGACCTTGATATTTCACCCCGGCTTTCTAAGAATCATCATCCAACAGGTTCCTTACAGAAGATGCCCTGTGGGTCTAGATTTTAAAGTAGTCTGTGTTGTATCCAGAAATTAACATAAAAATTGCTGATAATATCATGGTTAGCGAGGGCTATCAGCTAGTGAGATAATATATTGCAGTTAATACACTCCATAGTTCCTCTTCCTTTTCAACTAGCATCCTCTTTTGCTTGCAGTTTGGAAGTAGCTGGAAGAAACAGACAATAGAATTCCCAAGAGCTAAGAGGCTAGCACATTACAACATAATTAAATGCTGACTACAGATTGCTTATAATAGAAATACATTAAGAAACAGAACTAGATGGTTTTCTAGCAATTACAGAAAGTGCTTTCTAGGCTACTGTTTAACAGAACGCTGCTTCCTCTGCAGCACAAAGTGACTGACACTTGCTTTATAACTTCTCCCCGTTCCCAGTGTTCCCTGCAGCATTCACTCCTACCTAAGCACTGGAGCAACCACAGGGAAGTCAGGGTCTGCAGTTCTTAGATAGCCTGTGCATCAGTATTCGAAGGATCAGAGCCCAGATCTGGGACAAAGCTGCAACTTGTCTGGAAGAACTGCCTGTGCAATTACTTTAAGCACCTTGCAACACCTACTAGTACTTCTGAGTACAGACTCTCCTGTAGATTCAACTGTAGTTACCTTTATTTCCTTTTCAGAACTGACAGTGCAGATACTACCATTACCTTCATCACGAAAGCAGTAGTTACATGAGTATTTTTCCCAGCAATGCTGGCTTAGTCAGTCCATACCCTCTCCTGCCACTCTGTCCCATGCCTGCACCTGCTTCCTTGCACCGGGAGGACACCGGAGGTTTGCACAGCAGGACAGCCCGGGAACTAACCCCCCTCCCTTTTTTAATCCTGGGCACAGGAATGAGTAACTAGGTGCTTCAGCCAACTCTGCCACCAAAAAAAAAAAAGAAAAAAACACCCACATAACTGTGTAACATGTCTAAGTCCCACACCACAGAAGCATGTCAACATCTCAAAGATCTGGTAAATCCACAAGTGTTGGCAAGCATTTGCCCCAGGACCCCTCAGTTCGAAAGCGCTTAGCTGGCTAAATCACTCCGAAGGCGCTTTAATAGCTACATAAATATATGGGTGGGATCAAAAGGGGCGGGGGAGCCGGTATTTGGCC